GGAGGCAAGAATATACAACAGGGTAAAGACAACCTTTTCAGTAAGCGGGGTTGGGGCTACTGGACAGCTCCGTGCCGGAGAATGAGGCTGGACCACGTTCTTACACCACACACACAAATAAACTCAAAATGGGTTACAGACTTGAATGTAAGACCTGAAATGCTAAAACTCCAGGAGAGATGCCGGGAAAGTTATCCATGGTGCCTCATGTGGAAGAGACGTCCTCTACACTAAGGACTGAGGATGCTCCCCGTGAGGTCATTACCTTGACCTTGGTGAGAGTAATCACCAGATGGCAGAAGGTGCTGGAGCTGCCACCAAAAATGCAGACCATACTTTCAAGGAGACCATGAAAAGGAGCGTCCAAGGGCTGAAGAGGCCTTTGTTTAGGATGAGAGGAACTTGAGTAAGTTAATGTCAGCTGGGACCTCCCTGCCTCTGAGACACGTGGGTAAACTTGGTCCAAAGCCACGGCCAGGGCTCTCGGAGCTGACTTCAGTGACTTGTGAGACCTTGCTCACTCATGCTTCTGTCCGCTGTCACATCCACACCTGTGTCTCAGGCCCACCTCATGGCAGCTCAGTGCGAATCTCAGCCCCTTCACTGGTTTCTACACAAACACATGTACTCATGGGAACAGTAAGCCAAGCATCAAAAATGTCAGAAGAAACTGTCAGGACGTCTGGAGGTGTTCCTGGCAAGGGGTTTACATGGCTGCCTTAGTTCTTCCGACTGGTGGGCAGGAGATAAGAATGGATGGGAAGGAAGATGAGATGGGGGCGGCAGGGTGGTTCACGGACTCAGTATTCCCTTTGTCCTCTGCAGACATTCAGCTCCCCAGAGCACCCTGTTACTTTGGTGTTAATAATAATTGTACCAATTTTATTTAAGCACTTTGGGCAATTTTTTCAAACTTGTGATGATCCCTCCGTTTCTTCAGACTCTTGCCATGGCTTCTTTCACCTGCTTTGGTTGAAAATGGGTGATCTTTGATGACTTTGTATTACCTCCTTCAACATTTTGTCCTCGCCCTCCAGTTTGCTCCTTTCCTATGGCTCAGCACTGACACCTGGTGGCCTGTTAGTATAAAGCCGCAGACCCGCTGGGACAGACCCCAGGAGGGCATGGGCTTGGTGGGGAAAAGCAAAGCAGAGGCTCAGGCTCCTAAGCAGTCAAGCCAGGAATGCATCCTCTTAGGGGACCCTCGGAAAATAGGAAAGCCTTTGACCTCAGAAATAGACATGCTTCTTTGAGAGCTAAGTGAATTTAGCCAGAAACTAAACTGGGAATGAAAGCTGATCAGGATTTTGAAGAAAAAGAAAAACAAAGAAAAGCCCTCCAGATTAGGGAGAATTAGGCAAAAGAGAATCCGAATATAAAAACTTTTGGGGAAGATGTGGGCTCTTGGGTAAAACTTTTTTTTTTCCAGCAAATATGTATTGAGGACCTTCTATAGTTGGCTTACTAAGTAGTCTTGCTTCCGTGGGGGATTAAGTGTGAAGAAATTTTATTTTTTTCCCATCATTGCTTTCAGTCATGCTCTGTGAAATATCCCTTTCCCAATCCTTGATGAAATCTTGGCCAGATTTAGTAACTTTTGGTTACCAGAAGTCCATTGTGTTTAAAACTTCAATAATACCCAATTCAATTCTCAAATATTACCATACCCTCTCCACTCCAGGCACTAGGTCATAAAGAAAGTCTTCACTTTAAAGAAGTCATAATTTTTATTTTTTTAAATAATTTTTTATTTATTCATTTGAGACAGAGAAAGAGAGAGAGAGAGCATGAGCAGGGGGAGAGGCAGAGGAAGAGGGAGAAGCAGGCTCCCTGCTGATCAGGGAGCCCAACATGGGACTCGATCCCAGGACCCTGAGATCATGACCTGAGCCGAAGGCAGACGCTTAACCATCTGAGCCACCCAGGTGCCCCAAGAAGTCATCATTTTTAAAACTGAGATATAATTGACACAAAGTGTGTTAGTTTTAGGTGTAGAATATAATCATTTGATATATGAATTCTTGTGGAGCAAGAATATCCTGTCCCCTTCAAGGTCCTTCTAGCTGGACTAAGAATCAGATTGATATGAGACAAATTAAGCAGAGAAAATCAAATTTAATAACATACCTATGGGGAGTCCATATATGTACAAATCCAAAGACAATCAGGCAAAACGAGGCATATATGTCATCCTGAACTAAGGAGAAGGGGCTCAGTGTCTGGGACTTTGGAAGGAAGTACAATTACAGAGGAATAGGAGCAAGGGCAGATGTTTGGTAATCAGATGTTTGCCCTGCCATACAGATGGGTCACTCAGATAACATTTATCTCTAGTAATAGCCCTTATTCTGGGAAAGACTCCCAATTTAGATTCTTCTATGTAGCTGAGGGAGGCACAAAAGTTTCTCTCGATCCTGCAGGGTCTCAATTGGCTTCAGCTCAAAATAATCTTCATGCCGAAGAGGCCCATCTTGGGGCAGCCTGCCCTCGGCTCCTAGAGTATATATTGCAAGATGATTATCAGAAAAGTTTAGTTAACACCCATCACCACACACAGTTACACCTTTTTTTTTTCTTGGGATGGTAACTTTTAGGATTTACTCTCTTAACTTTTAAATTTACAACACAGTATTATCAACCATAGTCACCATGCCATACATTATATCCCCGGGACTTATTTATGTTATAACAAAGAAGTCATAATTTTTAAGAATCAAAGTTACATAAACCATATTATCTGACCATATTGTAATAATGACATCAGAAAGAAATGATAAAAGGACGGAAAAGAATCTAAATGTTTGGAAACTTACAAAGACATTTCCCAATGGTTGTGGGTTAAAGAGTAACCACAGTAGAAATGACAGAGTATATCCCCAAAGGGCTGAGAAGGTTCTACAGATCTGAACTTGTGAGATTAAGTCAAAGGAACATTTGTAACCTTATATGCATTTATTTAAAAAATAACTTAAAATCTGGAAATGAAGAAATGAAGCTCTTTACTCCTGAAGCTATTGAAAGCATGAAAGGGTAAAGAATGTAGAAAGAAGGTGGGCACCTGGCTGGCTCAGTCGGCGGTGACTGCGACTCTTGATCTCGGGGTTGTGGGTTCGAGCCCTATGGTGGGTGTAGAGATTACTTAAAAATAAAATTTTTACAAAAGAAAAAAGTAGTAGGAGGTCATAAAAAGATAAAATAAAAAAAGGGAGGTAATAAAAAGCAAAAAATAATTAGAAAACAAACCAAACAATAAAGACAATCAAAAAATGAAAATCTTCTTTGTAAAAAGGAAATGATAAAACTCGCCATCTTCTAAGGAGGTGGATAAAGGATAGAGGCCTAAATAAACAATATTAGGAATGAAAAATGGGTATAACTACAGATACGGGAGAGACTTTTAAAAGCAGGAGACTACTATCCATAATTTTGTCAATAAATTTGAAAACTTGCACAAAAGGCAGTACCTTTTAGAAAAAAATATAAAACCAATTCATATTAATTAAACTAATATTAATATTAAATCAAATCAAGAAGAATTAGACAACCTAAAAAGAACCACAGTTGATACTTAGAACTTCTTTCTTCTGCAAAGTGTTTGTGGTTTTCTTTGACTTTCAGCCGTGACCTCAGCTCGCCAGGATTCTCCACCCACCGGGGTGACTCAAACCTTTATTTCTGAAGGGTCGCATCCTCAGCAATCTGGCTTTTTCTTGTTTGATGCAGTTTTTCTATCAACCTTTTTGTCTCCTGATTGCAGCTGAGTAATGATTGCATTTAGCAGCAGAGTTTTTACACATTGTAAACATTTTAAACTATGTCCAATTATCTGTACAGAGGTCTTCCTAAAGGAAAAATTCTCCTGAAGACACTTATGAAGGTTAAGTGCTATGGTCTTCATATTTATGTAAATATTAAGAAATAATTAGGAAAGATGATCTTTGTCTTTCCAAAAATGTTTTTCATTCTAAGGCATATAATATTAAAATCTAGAAGACGTTAGGCTAAGTAATACTTCTCTTTTCAAAAATTACTTACCTTTCACCTTGTATTACCTGAATAAAGCAGATGAGTAGTATGGTTCTAACACATCAGAACCGATCAAAATGACTGGATTTATGAAGTAACATATTTGTGTGCCGAAAAGATCTTATTAATTTAATGAGAAAAATGGCATACTTTATAAAAACTATAAATCCTGTACTGTTATAGGCTAAAAAAAAATTGTGAAGGAGAAAAGCACTGAGATTTTCATTTTATAAAAACACTATTTTAACATCTGACATAAAAACAGAGCTAAAAAAACACAGGGCAATAGCTTTAGTTTTTTAAATTTTGTGTTTGATTTACTAGTAACAGTCCAGAAATGCGAACCCTATCCCTATGTGTTTCATTTTTATTCCAAAACAACAAATTTAAACCGAGAATATTCTGTCTAATTCAAAAGCATCTGAAATGCTCATTTCTGCTCTCAAATAAGTATTTCATATAAAATGGTGCTCAGAGTAAAGTGAAGAGCAGCATATTACTATTTGTTGTGGCACAGTTTCTATTTTCATACTGACGAATGCCTATTTCAATTTTATTTTTTAAGTTGTCTTCTAAGATCAGCTTGGAATGGAATGACAGTACAATGTGTCTTGAGACCTCCACTTCAACTTGCTGGCCCCGGACATTCCCAGCTTTATGCTTCTGTAATCTTACCTTAAGCAACATCCAAAACCAAGGTGAAAATCGGGTATGGAGTTAGAGGCATTCATTGGATGTCATTCTTTTTTTTTTTTTTTTTAAGATTCCATTTTTAAGTAATCTCTATACCCAACGTGGGGTTACGAACTCACATCCCCCAAGATCAAGAGTCACACGCTCCGCCGACTGAGCCAGCCCGGGGCTTCCCAATGTCATTCTGCGAAAGGTCTGGTTTCTGTTGGGTAAGGAAGAGCCCAAAGGCTGTGACAGTCTGAGTGTTATTTATGCCATTTAATTCAGCTGGATAGGTTTCTGTTCTGAAACTTGTAAAATGTCTGTGAGCCTGGAGTGGAGTTTCTGGCTGACACCGATGGAAAGACACATCCCCTGCGTGACACGCCTGAGAATGTACCATAGGCTGTTCATTTCCTCATGTTGTTGGTTTTCAGAAACTTCCAGAAACAGCTGACCACATCGTGGAAGTTATAAATCAGGTGTGGTGATGTCTCCAAACTTCCTAGAGCCAAGTCCAGCTGAGTAAACTCAACGCTGCGGCGGATGGCAGAATCCTGATGTGCCGGGAAATTCTGAAAAGACCTCACACTGGTAGGTCTCGCTGCAGAGAACTGACAGGCACAGCTGGGTCACAATTGCGACCTGCAAGTGTGCGGGGAACCTGCATTAGCCTCGTCCTCCGACGCTGATTCTGCCATGACTGACCCACCCCGTGCCTCTGTCCACTGCACCTGCTGCTGTGGTTAGGACCACCGACCCTGCAGCTTGCGTGGGGAGCCAGAGATTGTTGCTGCTGGTGATCTGAAATCATGAAGGTGCACTCAGAGAGAATCTTGGACATAAGTCAGGATTTCATCTGATATGCCAACAGAGAAAATCCTCATCGAAAGGTAGATCTGACAATTTCTCACTTTGCTGCATTTGTCGAGTATCTCCAAAATTAGTGTCTAAGTTTTTCCTAGTCCTATATAAGTCACTGTGAACGTCATATGGAAAGAACCTTATAGGATATCCAGAAAGCATCAGGTTTATTTCCTGAGATGAACAAATTGGCTCATGGTTTAGGTCACTATCATTTCCTATTCGGCACAATATTATCTTGTCAGTTACTGCCTTCATGCCTAGATTTATTTAAAAGGCTTCTTTCAAAGGCTGCAGCCTTTGAAACAGGGTAGAGAAACCCGAACTCGTTCTGTTGCATCATGGTACCAAGAAGGGAACGAAGATTGAGGGATCCTTATTTAAAGTCAATTTGGCAGCAGGTGTTTTCCATTGAGCTACCTTTAGTCCTCATTAGTACAGGATCCTTTATGGCTGGGGAAGAACATAGGTCATCCAACACAGCTACTCCGGTGGTCAGCGTTAAAGGGAGCTTCCGTTTTGTTCTTGTGAGCGCTCTGTTCCCTCTTCGTTTGGGACAGTTCTTGAGTTTCCAGTGGTAATAACCTAGCTGCCATTTTTAAAAACGAAGAGTGCCCTCAATCAAGCCCAGGTTCACTGCCTTTCTTTGGTGAGAAGTCTGTACACCATCCTGCCCTTGTCTTCAGGTTTAATCGTCTGAACATGGTTCTTGGCCCAACGAATCGTCTTAGCAGCCTGATCCTGCCATGCACAATTCTGCTTTGATATGTTCTAGAACAAGTTCTCCTTTGACACCCCAGACAGTAGGTGTCAAGTCTAGTTTGTGGTTCGTTCTAAAGATACATTTTTTTGTTCAGATTTCGACTATGAAATGGAGGTGGGAGTAAAGATTCAGCTTTCCCTTTCTTGTTCTGCTCAAGATACTTTAACCCTACCCCCCCCACACCCCCTTGGAAATCAGTGCCGGGAATCTGGAAGAATAATCCGGCAGATTTCTTCATTGGCGGATGAACCACATCTCCGTACAAGAAGGGTTTCTAGGGGAAGGTGGTGTGGGTTAGGACAGATTTTGGCAGTTGAGAGGTCATCAGCCCCGTCAACTCTTTTGGGAGATGGTGCCCAGACACCAGGTTGCTGCTGAAGATCAGTCCCTGTGGCTGGGGCATCCCCTGCGCTAATTTGCTTGGATCTGGACTATCTGAACCAATCAAGACGGCAGGGGAATGGGATTATCCTGATTGGCTGAGCGGGTTGTCAGTCTCAGGAAACCCCATAGCTGTTACCCAGGGCAAGAGGTGGAATGAATATCCGGAGCCAGTGATTCTGCACATAGGCATGGACTGTTTTCTATATATGCATTTGAGACCACACTGTATGTACAGCTAAACTACGGTTAGCAATTTTGTTGTTGTTTATTTTGTTGTTGTTTAGAGTAGCATTATTTATATTAATAAAAATACGTGACACAAGCCAAATACTCAGCAAAAGGGGAACAACGAAATGGGATACCCATTTGGGGACGCATGGTAGCCTTAACTTTCCCAAAGCTTGGAAATGACTGGGCGTGAAGCCAATGGTAAGAAGTCATGTTTATATGGTGTTGTTTTCTAATTCAAAGCCATCTCTGGTTATGTCTTCCTGACGAAGAGGATGTGGACCTTGGGCGAGGAAAGGTGTTCTCCGAAATAACATTCGGCACCGCACTGGACGGTCAATCAGGTCTAACAACAACTTCATTATTCCCCTTAACGCTTTTCAGATTTTCAACGATGAATGTGCGAGCGAAGGGCTTTCTTGTATTCCTGGTAAGTCATGTTTTATTTGTCCTCTTAGTCATATTATTTTTCCTCCACAAGAGCACTAGAATACACACACTGTGCTGGGAAGTAGCCTCAATAGGGTGAAATAAAAGTGGAAAAAAGTCACCTGACAATGATATGAGGAGGGAGTTAACTCGGTAATGTTCAAGGCCCCATTCCTGTTTTTAAAAAATTGTGGTAAAATATACGTAAGACAGTTCATCACGTTAACCTTTTTTGAGTGTACCATTCAGTGGCATAAAATACATTCACACTGTTGTGTCACCGTCACCACTAATCGACAGAACTTTTCCGTCATCTCAAACTGAAACCCTGTACCCATTAAACACTAACTCCACCTTCTCCCCTCCTTTCAGCCCCTGCTAATCGCTATTGAACTTGCCTCTTCTAGAAACCCCTTATAAGTGGAGCCCTGCAGTGTTTGTCTTCTCGTGTCAGGCCTATTTCACTTTGCATAACGAGTTCAAGGTTCATCTGTGATCAGAATTCACAGGTTCAGCATGTATCAGAATTCCATATCTTTTTAAAGGCTGTGTTGTCATATTCCAGTATATGGGTGTACCCCATTTTGTTTATCCATTGATTCCTTGATGGACATGTGGGTTGTTTTTACGTTTGGCTATTGTGAATAATGCTGCCTGTGGACACTGGCGTATAAATAGCTGTCTGGGTCTCTGCTTTCAGTTCTTTTGGGTCTATACCTAGGAGCAGAATTGCTGGGTCATAAGGTAATTCTGTGTTTTGGAGGAAACACCCATACTATTTTCCATGCTTAGTCGAACCATTTTATATTTCCAACAGCAATACACAGTGGTTGAAATTTCTCCACATTTTCCCAACACTTGTTATTTTCTGGGTTTTTTTGGGGGTGGGGTGGGATCATAATAGCCATCCTAATGGTTGATAAGGAAAATCTGTGTCCTAAGATGGGCCACGGAGCCAGCAGGAGAGTCCCAGTCCTTGCCTCAGGGCTCTTCCGGGTTCCTCTCCCTGCCCTGCTTCACGCACACCCCAAAAGTGCCAAGTATGTGGAAGTAGAAGTGAATAAATTGCCCCCTTTGTGCTCCGAGCTCAGACCTTTGGAGATCACTCTCCTCTGAGCCCTCCGGCGTTAAATAAACCTACTGTCCTCCAAGGTCTCCGGGTGCCTCTTGGTTCTTCCATCAGGCGATCCAGTCCAGGTTCCGTAACAGTGTGAAGTGGTGTCTATCTCATTGTGGTTTTGATTTGCATTTCCCTAATGATTAGTGATGGTATGTAGTCTTCGGTGGAAGGTTTCTTTCACTTAACAAGTGGAATCTTGGGACTCATCCACATGGTTACAAGCATTAGCGTTCCTTCCTTGTTGCTGAGTGGTATTCTGTTGTGTGAACGTGGACTGTTTAACTCTTCTCTTATGGATGGCCCCCTGAGCTGTTTGCTCTTTGAGGCTATCATGAATAAAGATCCTAATGGAGCAGTTTGGTATGTTCTTTTCTGTGGATATGTGCTTTCATTTCCCTCAGATAAATATCTAGGAGTAGAATTGCTGGTTTACAGTGTGAGCATCTGTTTAGGTTTATAAGAAACTGCCACACCTTTTAGAAAGTGGCATTAAATTGTGCTCCCCCCAGTAATGTACGAGAATTGTGGCTGAACCACATCCTTGCCAGCATTTGGTGTTATAGTCTTTAAATTTAACCATTCTGATGGGTGGTAGTAGTATCTTATTGTGATTTTAATTTGTGTTTTTTTCCTGGGACTGTGATCATTAATCCTTGATGGTTAGTGATGTTGAACATCTTTTCGTGTATTTGCCATCGATACATCTTCCTTTGTAAAACATGTGTTCAGATATTTTGCCCATTAATTATTTGGATTGTTTGACTTTTTTTTTATTGAGTTGTAGGAATTCCTTATCTATTCTAATTATCAGTCTTATGTAAAATATTAGCTTGGTTTGTGGTTGTCTGTTCATTTTTTTAATACTGTATTTTGATGAACACAGTTTTAAATTTTGGTAAAGTCTAATTTATCAATTTTTCCTTTATAGTTATGGCTTTCTTTGTCATTTCCAAGAAACTTTGGCCTGTTCCCAAGCCAACAAAGGTATTGTTCCGTTTTATTTCATAAGCTTTAGAGTTTTATCCTTTATGCTTAGACCTATGGTCTAGTTCATGCTAACTTTTGTGCAGATATGAGGTAAAGATCGGTATTTCTTTTTTTCCCATATGGATGTTCTGTTGATCCAGTACCATTTATTGGAAAGATATTTCCCGTCGGACTGCTTTGCCTAGTATTAGCATTGGCAATTGGAGTGACCTTCCTCAGTGCTCTGCAGATCTGGTTCCATAATGGAAGAGGGGAGCGTTGGCTGTTGACTTCTTATTTTTTTTTTTTTACAGGTTAAAAAAATTTTTTTAAATTTAAATTTAACTTAATTAACATATACTGTATTATTGTTTCAGAGGTAGGATTCAGTGATTCATCAGTTGCATATAACACCCAGTGCTCATTACTTCAAGTGTCTCCTTAATGCCCATCAGCCAGTTACCCCGTCTCAGTTAAGTGGGCAGGGGCATGCTCACACACAAACTATTCCTTGGGGAGAGGAGCAGGGACCGGAGCTGGGTGCGCCCCCTGCTGGCCGAAGCGAGGAAGTCTTCGCTTTGTAGCGGCATTCTGGAGTAACTGTGTTGGGCACAGAGCTGTTCCTTTTTGTTGCCTCTGTGTTGGTGGAGAAAGTCCTGAGATGATTCAGGCTTTCCTCCCACTGTCTCTGCAGCCCCCTCAGTTCCTTTTCAAATATACTATATAGCGGCTCCCCTTTGCATACAAAGTAAATTTCAAACAACCAGGCATGGCCAACCGGGTTTTTCATAGTATCATTCCTGCCCTCTTCAAACTTCAGTGGGTTATTGTTTCCAGATTCAGTGAGATACTACATATCGAATACCTAGTGGGAGGTAGATGTATCAGTGAAGGAATTTAGTTGCAAAAACAAAAAAGGCAAACCTACTTGAGTTCGTGCAAGCGGTAAAGAAATTTGTTAATGGACATTGGAAGTTAAAAATACGAGGATCCAGGACCAGTGCCAAAGTACATACTGAACGCACCAGTGCCTGGACGGAGGCCTGGACTGGGGAGGGAGCTGCCAGGCTGGCTGGAGCTGCAGCTACAGGCTGAAGCCTCACCGCCCCCCTCTCCGGAAACGGTTCTCCCTGGTGCCTCCTCTTCTTGGGACTCCTCTCAATTGATGATGGACCTGAGTACGTCCGGTGGACAGGCTCCAGGTCCCGGATCTGTACCCCAGCCACACAAAGGAGGTTGGAGGGTGACTTTCTGCCTTCTGTGTTGGGAAGGCAGGGACTCAGTGGGGAATTCCCCAGATATAAAGGGTATTAAAAAGTTGCCAGAGACGTTGGCTATGGTAGGTAATCAATCCGTAGTGCCTCTTTTCCCCAGAGAAAACAACGTACTAGAGTAGGCATGTAAACAAACATCCATGCTCAGCGTAGACACTGTATCTCTTGTGAAATGCACTCTGAAAATTTTCACACACACAATAAGCTTCAACTTGGTCCACTTCACGGTTAACCCTGTTTTAGTTGTGCTTGTCCTTGTTTCCCCATCTCCCCCTCCCCACCCATTATTTTGAAGCAAATCCCAGACATGAAGTCTTTTCCTTCATCTCTTGGCGTGTATCTCTAAGAGATGAATGGCTTGTGAAGTTTTGATTATGGAGAAGCATCATAGCGTAGCCACCTTTCCAGTGTTTGCCTGAGCACTCAGATTGTCCTTCGGGAAAACAAATATTTATCTAGTAAAGATATTGGAAGAGAAAGCTCACATTCTTCAGGAGCTGACAACCTATTCATTCACTCATCTGTTCATCCATTCAGCAAAAGATTAGTAGGTACTAGTGACTTTTCCCACACTTGGCTTGATGCAGAGGTGACCAAAAATATAGTCGTTGCTTTTATGGAGCTTTGAGAGACCAGACAAAGGCCTGAAGTGTTAAATTAACAAAGCACATGTGAACTATTAGTCAATAAACAATAAAGAGATATCATAAGGCAGTAGGCATTTGATCACAAAATGAGTCAAGAAAATAGTAGACAAAAATCTTATTTTTTAAAAAATATTTTATTTATTTATTTGGGAG